TGCCTGGCCTCTGTGGTTAACTAGTGGCTAGCTCCACACTCTGATCTCCAGACAAACTTTATTTGCTAGAACACAAAATATCACCACATAGTACACTGGTATAAAGAAACCTATCGATGGACTTTAAAACTTTCCAGTAGTTGGTTTAAGACTAAAACATAACTAACCTTAGGAATGCATTTCATCTCCCCTAATATATCCAACAATATGTAAATGTAAAAATATAATCAATAAATAGCAGAATCAAGTTACTCAGATTTTGCATTTCCAGACTTAGAATCTGAGTGGGTTTTATTGTGCACAACAGAGTTTAGCTTAGACAAGCCACTTTCCAGGGGCCCGTTAACTGCATCAGAGTCATCAATCAGAAAGCCCTTGACCATGTCTCATAACTAAACTAACTGCCTTTCAGGAAAGATGTGTCTGCAACTGGCAGTCAGCCTTCCTCCCATGGCTTCCTCATCTGTGAGTTCCATACTGTGGCCAGAAAATGTGGCGTCTGTGTTGAACATGCACAGACTGATTAAGTGTTTCCCCTTGTGTTAGGCACTGTAAGTAGCCTGTTACTGGGTGGTTAAAGTGCACGGGGGACTGTACCTTCTGTGTAACCACAGTGCCATTGCACATAAGGGACCTGACCACCTGTGGATTTTGGTGACTGGGTCTGGAGCTGGAATCATTCGATTCCTAGACAGTGCTGTCTATGCTTATTTTAAAAAGTGTGAATTGAGTGGACCTTTAGTACATAATTTGCAAACAGTGAATGTCCAGTACACTTTCTTGTAAATTCTGTGCATACAGTTCCTATGGAAAGCTTTCATTTACTAAGTTTTTATAGTTCATCTGTGGTTACAGACCATCTGTGCTAGTTCAGTAAAGTAGCTGCCCATGTCACTGCTGAACTAATGTTATTCTACCGTGAGTGTTGATTGACATGTATGCTAATGAAGTAGTACTGGTGATGTCATTCCTCACAATGCTGACATCCTGACACTTTTAATTAAAACTTAATGTGAATTATTACTGTCTTCACTCACAATTTAACCCTTTAATTAGGGTCATTAAACGTTTTCTTTAATTGGATGAGATAGTAATTATTTTAGGCTTCTAGGGCTGCTGAAAGCCAAGAGTAGCCATTATAATACACAAATGAGCAGGGCATGGCCAAATAAAAATATCTTTACAAAACCTGACATTGGCCGGGCAGAGGTGGCTCATGCCTTTAATACCAGCACTCAGGAGGCAGAGGCAGGTGGATCTCTGAGTCCAGCCTGGTCTACAAGAGTGAGTTCCAGGACAGGCTGCAAAGCCACAGAGAAACCCTGTCTCAAAAAACAAAACCTGATACTGGCTGAGATTTTTTTTTTTTCTCACTACTATACAAATGAGGAAGTAATCTTGGCTTTAATGACCGGTTTATCTTCTCTCACACAAATGATTCCACCCTGGTAAGGGAGGAATTGAAATCTTGGAATGTAGGGTTGGGTGGGTTTGCACAGTGTTGTATCATTGTTTGTTATTTCCACCATTATTCTGCAGACCATGGCTGTGTCTATCCCACAACTTTGTCCTTAGTGTATCAGGTGAAATAAGAAAAGTGTCACATCAAAGAATATGTAATGTATCCTCTTTATATTCTTAAAATAATAATGTTTATTCGATATGTGTTGACGTATGCTGCAGAATTACCTGCTTAAAAGACTTTAAAAGTTCCATTCCTCAGGCTACTCAGCTAGCACAAAAGGAAAACCCTGGATTTGATTAAGAAGGAAGAAACTGGGAGTGGGGGGTGCATCCTATAATGTTCACAGTGGTGTGCACAGCCACCCCACATGCAATAGACAGACGGTAGACTGACTGATAAATACACAGACAAACAGACGCTAAAAAATAGAAATGTGAGTGCTGAGTCTTCTGTTTAGTCTGGGAGTTTTCCACTATAAAAGTTTGCCTGTCTGTGTTAAACACACACTGTCTCCATCCTGCTGTGTGTTTCCAAATTGTCTCTGATAATTGCTCAACTGGGTCTCATTTTTTTTTTCTCTAAATAAACTGGCGGCTGCATTTTTCTTATATAATTTGCTCATTAACATCCTTATGTATTTTCCACTTGATTTCTTCATCTGTTTCTCATTGCTTGCAAGTTCTCTGATAGGGTCATTAGCCTACTAAATATACTAAGTGATTTCTGTTGCATTATCATGTAATACTTTGTAATTAGCTTACCAGGCTCCCTGATGTGTGTTTGTGAGTTTGTGCTTACGTGATTGTTCCCCTCCAGGTGTGCTCTTTTATCTTCTTGTATGACTCTGCATGTTATCCTTTACGTTTAGATCTTTTCATGTTTGGACTGATTGGTGTTCCCTTTGTCTGGTGTGCATGGGGGGAGCTATCTCAGAAGAGAACTATTGTTTTATCTCGCTCTAGCTCGTTGTGTTCACCACTGACTTCATATGCCCCTGTTATCATAAACAGCCTCTCCGGTCATACAGTGAGTCTTTTTACACTGTCTCTTGTTTGGATAACCGTTTGATCTGTTTTTGAAACAGTGCTTCCTTCTCAGTCTTCATGGCATATTCTCTGATGTGTTAGAAGGAGGCAGGATTCCCCCCCCTCCCCCCCCCCCGTCACATGTCTCTTCTAGTCACAGTTAGAAGCCCCTGAAGGTCAGCTGATTAACCTCCACCAAAGGACTGTTAGGACTATGATTGGGATTATGATGCTAAACTTAGAAATTAATTTAACAAGAGCGAATTTGCTATTACTGAGTCTTCAGATCTACAAGTAGAGTGAGGCTGTACAACTCACACTCCTTTCCCACTCCATGCCTCTTGCTTGGTCTTCCCTTATGAGTTTCTACTATCTCTCAGGGGTGTGTGTATATACATACACATTGTATGTGCATATATGTGTGTGGAAAGCACATGTTTTACATGTGGAGACAAAGGATCAATATCTTGTGTCTTCCTTCTCTGCATCACCATCATCATTATTAACGCGAGTGTACACATATGTGTGTGAAAGCATGCATTGTGCGTGTGGAGGTCAAAGATCAGTATCTTTTGTCTTCATTCCCCACATCTTCATCATCATCACCACCATCATCACCTATGTGCCTGTGTCCATGTCCGTGTATGTACGCTTGTTATATGACAGTGAGCCATACCGCAGTACACATGTGGAAATCAGAGAACACTGTTGTGGACTTGGTTTTTTATGACTTTATGAAGGGTCTAGAGATGGACTTCAGGCTGTCATGTTTGCATGCCAATTGTTTTTTACCTTCTGAGCCGTCTAGTTGGCTCCAACACCTAACTTTTTAAGACATAGTTTCTAACAGAATCTGAGCTGTCTGGTTCAGCTGGCCCAGCTGGTCAGTGAGCTCCAGCGGTCCTCTGGTCCTGTGTCTCTGTGCTGGTGTCAGGCTTGTGCTGGGCTTTTCTCATGACTTCTGGGGACTGATCGCCGGTCTGTCTGCTAATATGGCAATCAATCTTCCCAGCCCTGTCTTTTGACTTTTTGATGTTAAGAAGTGTCTTTTTTCCCTCAGCTTACTGAGAGTTTTTTTTTTTTCTTTTATTGAATTATTTTTTTCCTTCTGTACTGAGTCATACTTCAGCCAGGTGTTGCCACCAGGCCTGGCTTAAGCTTTAGCAAATGTGTGCATACCCTTCTGCCTCATCTTATTTATGATGGTTAATACCGCTAACCCTCCTATTTAGACTCCTACTTGAATTTACAAAATAAACTAACCTTGATTGACATATCTCATATTAAGCAATGCTGGCTTTAGCATGCTATACTTTCTTTCTCTTCCTTTTTTTTTTTTTTTTTTTTTTTTTTTTTTTTTCCTTGAGACAGGATCTCTCTATTTAAACCTGTTTGTTGTGGAACTTTCTGTTTAGACCAGTTTGAACTTGAACTCAAAGAGACTCACCTGCCTCTGCTCTTGAGTGCTGGCATTAAATGTGTGTATCACCACACCCATTTCTTTTCTTCTTTCCCCAGAGTTTTTTTTTTTTTTTTTTTTCATAGCTTTAAAGAACCCCTTCATAAAGCCACCTGAATCACGCATGTCAGAAACTTAAGGTTTAGTTAGTAAAGTAGATGGTCTTTTTTCCTCTGATTGCTTCTGTATGGAATGTTTAGAAAACCCTCCAGTTTGAAAGCTACATTTGGATATTTAGCCACAATTCCCACTTGTTATGGTTTCATATTTAACCAGCTGGGTGTGCCTGTAAAGTCACTAACTGGGTGTGGGTGAGCAGCCCCTTGATCCACTCTAAAGGTTATGATTTTAGGCTACCGAGGGTACATTTTAAAAATCAAATTAAATTTCTGGGAAGCATATGGCCAGAAGTCAGATTCCCCAGAACTCATATATGTGTGTGGGCATGGTAGTGGGTGTGGACATGGTGGTGGCCTACAGTTTCTGTCTCTGAAGACAGGGATCCCCAGACCAAGCTGACTTATAAGACTGGCCATCCTGGTAGGTCTGGATTTGACTGAGGGACTGTACCTCAGTGAGTAAAGGGGGAGGATGATAGAGGATGCACCTCAGCATTGACTTCAAGTCTCCTTGATCACACAAGCACACACTAGTGTCCACATATGTGCAGAAGCATGCACACACATGAAGAAGTGGTGGAAATCTAGTTAAGAATTGTGTATTTGTGTTTGGAAGCAGGAGCTGATCAATTGAAAAAGCTGTCACCAGTAATCACATCTTTTAATGCTTCTGCTCATGGCTTTCACATGCGTAATTTTATGTGTGGCCATCTTTCAGAATAAAATTGGATAACAGCAGCGGTCAGTTTCATCAACCATTCACCACATATTAGGAAGGCATTCTCCTAATCTGGCAGATCAAGTTTTTTTGTAGTTTAGATTTAATAATATTTAATTGTTGAGCCATGTGAATTAGTGAGTTTCTTTACAATGTGCCCTTTGACAGAATGAACGTTTCCACTAATCCGGCTTATTTTTGTTTTACAGATGTTGTTTTGTGTTTGCTTTGGGATACCTCACAGTGTGTCAAATTACTAGAGTCTATATCTTTGATTATGGACAATATTCTGCTGATTTTTCAGGGTAAGATTAAAATTTGATTCAGTGACCTCTTTTACCTATTCTAACACAGTGGTTTAAAGTACTCCAATAGAGGGCTGTTGAACATTTGTAATACCGTAGATGTTACAGAGATACCTGTGCTTATAAAGTGCCTTATATAATCCTTCTAAACACAGAGCAGCTAGACTCTTAATGTGGCATTTTTGATATTCAGAGTAGTTTCTAATAGGAATTTCTGCAAGCATTTACAAGCGTTGGAAGTCAGCCCCCTCCAAACTATATTCTTGCTTCTTAGCCTTCTCCCTCCCCCTCCCTTCCTCCCTCTCTCTCTCCCTCCCTCCTTCCCTCCCCCTTCTACTCTCTTAGTGGAACTCATTTCTGCCTTTTGTTTCCCCAGAGGGAATTTATTCCTTCTTGGCACTGAACAGGTCTCCTTACCAAGGAGACTGAAGGAGTTTTAGGAGATAGATGTAGTACCAGCTCCCGTGAGCTAACCAACTCCTGTCCTTGGAGAGAAACCTGTCCTGCCCTGTGGGCCCAGGTGGGCAGCAGCAGACTTCATACTTTGCATCCTTCCTCTCAGTTTCTCCATTGCCCAGAGCCATGTGTCTTTTTCATTCTTTTGACTCTGGGCAGTATCAAAGTGAATACAACATCCAATTTAAAGATAAGCAAGTTAGAAAAAAAAATAGTATCTCTGGAGAAAAAAATTTAAATTGGCCAAATTATTTGAGAAAGTCACCTGTAAAAAGGAGAATTTTAGAAGATAAAGTATGTTTTTCTTCCCAATGAGAACAAAGTAGGTTTAAGTAGGTAGATTTTAAAGTAGACTTCAGTGAAAGCAAGTTGTGTCCCAAAATAACAAACAAAACCAAGCCAAAATGGATGACATATATTAGAAAGAAAGAAAGATAGATAGATAGATAGATAGATAGATAGATAGATAGATAGATAGGTGAATCAAGACAAATCCACATCTGGAATTCCAGGGTAGAGAACAGACCAGCCGCTACCCATCTTTAAACAACAGGTGTTCTTAAAGAAAAGTTGCTGGACAGAATCAGCATCTGATTGGCTCACTTTGAGTAGAAGGAAGTGACCCAGGTCACAAATCATCACGGTGGAATGACATGACTTTGGAGCTAGCTGTGAAATCATCAGAATCTCTGGAAGGCAGACCCTTGCTAAGAATAGCCGCTGAAAGCTAACCATGTCACACCGGAATTTTCACTCCTAGCTATGGAGCTTGGGGACCCCGATTCTGTCTGCAGGTCCTGGGGGTGTTAAACAATGGGAACCCTGCGATCTTCAGTCTTGTTCTGCTCACACCTGCTCTGGGTGTCTCTGGTATATATTTATAATCAATCACTCATACAGTTTCTTGGATTTTTTTTTTTTAAACACCAGCACTTTACCATAAGCAAATTGAATTGACTGTATAACCATGTGGGTTGTTACTACTACACATCTGTGGAACCCAGTCTCCATGGAACCCCTTACTGCCCTCCTTCAGTTTGATCTTAGCCATTATCTTTTTATTTCCCATCTGCCACCTCCAAACCCTTGCTGCTCTCTAGCCCTTACACAACGTCTTTCTCCTCTAGTTACACAGAGGGTATTGTCAAAACAGCCATGTCCCTGCAGTGGGGTGAGGTCAAGGCTTAGTCTCACATTACAGTCCACTCTGCACCACAGGCTGTTAGGGAAGGGGAGGCCCTTCTTTCTGGCACCACCTCCTACAGGCTCTCTGGAACCTTCTGATTTTGTTGGAGGTGGGGGGAGTAATGATCTAGATCAGAGAGGGTGGATGCCTGCTTATATTCTGTTAGCACAAGCTATTACATGGGCCCACAAACTAGAGAATGATTTATAGTAAGAGCTTAATGATTTTTTCAAAGTTATTTATGATGTGATGTTAGCAGTATTTTGTTGAAATTTATAATTTAAATATTTTGATATAATTTTAAATGTTTATAGGGAAAGAAAAAACAATGTAGCATTTTAAAGATGAACTATTTGTTTATAATAGTCCCATTTTTAGTCATTGGGAGGAAGCATTTTTTCTACTAATGGTGAATTGATAGAGTTTAGATGCAGAGTTGAATGGACTGAAGCAAGCTGCCCTTGCATGGCTAAGCCAAAGAACTTGCTCTTTTAAAGTGGACATAAGAGAAAAGAGCCAGCTGTAGACCAGTTCTCCCTTCTCAGGAGGTAGAAGTCCTTGGGTGTGGGACATCAAGGTGTAATCAGATTTTTCTTTGGGCCTCCAGCTCTCTCTCTCTCTCTCTCTCTCTCTCTCTCTCTCTCTCTCTCTCTCTCTCTCTCACACACACACACACACACACACAAGACGTAATTATGAAAGCTCAACTGATAGCATAGGCTTGTTCCCAATTTGCTCTTATACCTTAAATTAACTCATATTTTTATTGATCTATGTTCTACCATGGGTTTTTACCTCTGTCCCATTTTGTGTGCCCAACTCCTTCCATGTCTGTCTGGCTTCTCCTGGCCACTCCTCCTCCTTCCCAGCATTCTCTTGCCCCGAAAATCCTGCCTAGCTATTGGCTGTTCAGATTTTTATTATACTAGTCAGAGTGAAATATCTTCACACAGTGTCAAGGAATATTCCACAACAGTAAGGCTCTGAGAAGTCCCTCCTGTGAGGCCAAATAGGACGAGTGTCATTGCTCTTCTTCAAAGTGGTGATGTCTGCGGAGAGCACAGAAGGGAGGCTGGGCCCTCTCTGAGAAATCTCTGTGAAATGTCTTCAATGAGACAGATTTACTTGCTTGAGGCATGGAAGAACAGATAGAGAGATGGGGGAGAGGGATGGAGAGAGGGAGAAGGGAAGGGGAGAGGGAGGGAGGGGAGAGGGAAGGAGTAAGAGGAGAGAAAGAGCTCGAGTATGTGTGTCCATGTCCGTCTGTATAACATTAGGTTCAGGACTTCTTTAGATAGAAGACTTTATTTTCATTAGAAGTTTCTAGCTGTAGAAAAGTTGTGAGGTCTCACCTTGGCTATTGAAAGGTGACACAAGAGAAAATGATTAGTATACCTATCAGAAATAACTTTAAAACGTAGTAGAAAAAAAATATCCTGTTTCAAAAGCAACTGTGAAATGTCCAGGAATGTGTCTGAGAAGAAATGTACCGGGCGCCATGGAAACAGACAACTCTAAAACTTTCTCAGGGGTATGAACTTGAGAAGCAGTCTGCTTGTATGTAGATAGTGCTGCAAGCAAGAAGGTAGATGCATGCAGTTGGTATAACAAAAGTTGTATTTTATCATGCTAAAGGTCATCACACAGAGTTCACACTCTTAAGTTCCTAACTCTGGCCCTAAGTCTGTCTCCCAGGCTGCTCATCTGTGGGATGCATCTCAGCCGAAGGTCAGGTCCAGTCTCACAGTAGTCTGCAGCCTAAGAGTAAGGATCCCAGGGCAGGTCAAGATGGTGTCTCTCTGGATGTGCAGAGCAGAGCATTGCTCTTGGTCTCTGCTTATATTCGGTCCAGTGGGCATCATGGGGTCTAGGACTGTGCCGGGTTATCTTGACTGAGTGATGTCACCCGGTTCTGGTTATCAGGTGTAGCCTTGGGTATTCCCATTTTTACATATCTAAAAGGCTTTTTTTTTTTTTAAACTGGTCACAGACAGTCAGGTACAGTAATTCTTTTCAAGTTAACCTGTCATCTTAATGCAGTAATTTGCCTGTAAAAGCTGAACATGGTGGACCAAGCTTGTAATCTCAATGACCTAGGAGACGGAGTCAGGAGGATGATCATGGGTTTGAGGTCAGCATGGTCTACACAGCAAGTTCCAGGCCAGCTAGAATGAAGTGAGACCTCAAAAAGCCAACTCACAATGAAACAGAGCCAAAAGAATGCATGCTCAAGAGCAATGGCTGCCACTCGCCAACAACAAACAGGCAAATCAAGGGGTTGGGATGGGGACCAGAAATCAGAATGCAGAACATCGAGGCTGGCAAGATGGCTCAGCAGATAAAGGTGCTTGCCGCCAAACATGGCGACCTGAGTTTGATTATTAGGACCCACCTGGTAGATCGAGATGACAGCTCCTAGGATTTGTCCTCTAATATGACTCCTATGCTATTCACCCTAAATAAATAAATACAAGGTAACATGCAGGATAGCTATGGTGGCATCAAAACTCAGTGGGGACATCCTGGCTCATTTCTTCAAGTAACTGGATTAGGCCTTGTGATGTGGAGAGGACAGTAAGCCTTCACCTCTTGTGGATAAATAAATGGCAGGAAGCTAGACCAGCGCTCTCGCTGGCATTGGATCTGTGTTGCCAAAGGGATCGCTTGGTGTGTCCACCACAAGACAAACCAGAAGGGGTTCATGTAGAACAATTCCCATTCAAACCAAGGCTGTGTCTTACAGCTTGGCGTATGATATCAGCTGTTCAGTGGGCGTTGGTCTGCCAGCTGGTCTGCGTCCCCTCGGTGGAGGCCTACTGAGTATGTGTGATGCATTTGGTAGGGGCTTTTGTAGGAGCTTTTAGGACATGGCCTAAAAGCTGCAGGTATGATTTTTTTTTTTTTTTTTTTTTTTTTTTTTTTTGCCTCTCCATCTTGAGAAGCCTTATTCAAGTCCAGAGTCTAATTTTAGACAAGTTTTTTTTTTGTGTGTTCTGCGAAATGAGTCATGAAGGCTGCTAGCTGTTCTGTGTAACCCTCCTCACACAGTGCCCGGTAACTGTGTGTAAATAGGGTGTATAAAATATTCACCCGCCTGAGACTTTGCACCTTCCAGTCCTAGTGGTTCTTCCTGTGGGAGTGTCTCCCGGCCCTTGACCTACATTTGACTACAGGAAGTACCCAGTCTCACTGCTGATGCCGTTCAAGTCAGCACTGGAGTAAATTGACTGGAGCAGTGGGGACTCGGTTGTCTGCCCCTGCCCCACCTGAGTTCTGCCACTGATTGATAGATTCTCAGGGCAGCATGGTAGAACATGGCAGAAAGACCTGTTTACCCAGGGTCTGCAGACACAGGCCA